AAAGAAACTGGCCAGTCAATACCTTACGATATGAAGGCAAGGAGGTTAAGATGTAACTCGAAAATATCCATCAGGAATCCTCTACACAACAATGAATGCATCAATAGGAGGCAAAAGACCACGTGAAAGGTCTAATACCAGATGGATAGCTCGAATCAACAAAAGAGCAATAGAGTTGCATGCAGAAAAAGTATACCAATATATATATATATATATATATATATATATATATATATATATATATATATATATATATATATTAAAGTATAATTTAACTAGATAAAAGCGATTAATTGTTTGTGCTAATTTATAAATCTTCTTGAGAAATTTTGATTTTTATGACCTTCGTTACTATTTTGTTTTGTCTCATACAATTTTCATGTATAGACAAATTAAATCATCAACCAAATCCTCCTCTCCTTCCACCTATACAGGTTGAACACTTATTACTCCACACCTGTGTCTGGAGCCCTTAATGATTATTGGGTTAAATTCACAATTACTCTAATTAGAAAACTGTAGAATATCTAATTATGAATAAAAATTAATGTTTTTCTGTTGTAAACCGATACTGAAAGTTGTTTATAGCTTTTTCATATTATGTTTACTAATTACGTAATTCTGCTTTGCAAATATGATTGTTGCTTGTTCCGGACCTATTAATCAACCCTAATACTATATTTTTTATCAATTAATGGTCGTAACTTTGTATTCATCTATATATCAATTATAATGTCTAAGGATAAAAATAGTCCTTGATTAAAAGTCGGCTATTAGGACCTTTACTTACGACAACCTACAATTACCGGTCTCAGCTAACGGGATCTGTCGCTGGATTGTGTCCAATTCTGCAGAAAAGTGAATGTATAGTTCAATTTTTATTCATAGGTTGTTAGATTATTTAACTTTGGAATTAAATAAAAATCAATAATTACACAAGTCAACTTTGAAAAAACTATTCAATAATGTTACCAATACCCGTGTTGTTTGGTATTCTGTTTCCGAAAATAATAATAAAATTAGTTGTTGTTTGGTATTCTGTTTCCGAAAATAATAATAAAAAATATATAACAATAAAAAATTATATTAATAATAAATCATAATTATATTATAACAATTAAATTATACCTCCAACATCTCATATTTTAATAATAAAAAAATTGTATTATTCCAAATTTGAAAAAAAAATTAATATAATAAAATATATTTTAACCTAAAAAACAAAATTGTTTTTTTTAACTTTTAGGTATCAAATCGTGTGCCTATTTTAAAATGTATAATCATTGTTATATTTAGAGAGTATTTTGGATGATAGAAAAAAAAATAATAAAAAGGTTATTAATTAATTACAAGGATGGTGTTGTTAGAAGTATGAGTCATAATTATAAGTTAAATCAGTATCAAAAAGGATTTTAAAAACATTTTTTTCGTTGGTCTTTGTTATCACAGAAATACAACCAGACATTTATCAATTAACAAACACATGATCATTATAAAACTTTATTTCATTTTTTTCCCCCACATTCATAACCTTTCTTTACAGAGCCCAATCAGGAATCGAGAAATAAGTAAGGCTGGAAACAAGTGGGTTTGGGTGGGTATGGAGTTAATCAAGAAAGGATAACCATTTGGCCAAATCAGCGACTTCTGTGGAAAAAGTAAACAGAGAAAAATAGAATATATCAAAATTAATTAGTTAACGAATACCTAACAACGAGATTAAGAAAGAAAGCCTATCCTTGGAGTGTGTAAAAATAAAAAAACGTGAAAAAAGTAACAAAATAATCAGACAAACGGAAGAACTGCAAAGAGAGCGAAAGCATCACTAGAGCAAAGTTGATACAGCTTACATGTATATAGAGAAAATGTGTGAATAGAATGGCAAGTAGACTGGATTTAAAAATCAAGATACAGCTTATTACAATGAACATTTACAGAGATTCCTAGATCATAGAACCCATATATGATGAAGATACTTAAGCCATTGACCCACGTGAGGTTAAAAAACCGGAAATTCTGGATTAAAAAATAGTTGTAAGGAAGCTCAAAAAAAGGATCTCATAATTAGATAACGAACTAGACACCTGCAATACTGGTCTAGGCTCTTCACTACTGTTAAAATAGCCTTCGTTAGAGAATGAGAATAATTGAGCGCTTTGCTTTTCTCGGTCTCAGAAATTGTACCACTCGATAGCCAAAGGATAAGCAAATGTTTTCATCATAAATATACAATATAATACAAGATTACTTTTTAGTGTTCAAGAATGACTTGCAAAATATACTCTCTAAAAACAAATATCCATTCACGTTAAACGCACATTCGTGTGGCACCACACTGCAAAAAAAAATTGTTTTATTTTTTCATTCCATAATAAGGAAATTATATTAGCAGCGTCAACTAAGGTCGGGTAAGTCGCCTTAGGTATGGGATCTTATCATAAAGATGTCTGCCATATTCATATCGTTTTCTCGCCAGATTTGAGGTGTTTTCCATCACAAATAATGATCACTAAATAGTCATTACTGCATTTCTTCGGTTTATTGCATAAGGTGAATATGTGACATTTCATAACCTCAAATAAATGAGAACTTTGATTAATTTTCCCTTTCTTACATTAGAAAATTGGGCGCTTTTTGAAACTATATTTGATATATAAAAGAGTTTGTTATTTTATTGCACTTACTAGTTATTAAATGTTCAGCTCCACCAACAAGTACTTAGTGACTTTTTGAGAAAATTTATGATATTAATGTATACCTAAATGTAGAGAAATAAAAATTGGAATTGTTTCATTTAAATTAATTACAATGGAATTTCTATTTTCCGAAAAAATAAATATTCTTTTTTTCACTCTCTTCGAGTCTTCAAAAGTTTTTGAATAATCTACTTAAGTTTAATTTTCGGGCTCATACATTTTCAACAGTTAAAAAATCAGATTGTTTCGGGATCTCCAATAGAGTAAATTCGGCCTGCACGAGTTTTTGGCAATTATAATGGCCATCTGTGGTATTGATTAATATTTACATCATTATATTCGAAATTTGTATATATGTTAAGCATATGCAAATAAAAATACGTACTTGAAGAATAAAATAAATGTATTCCCACTGCCTAACCTAATTGGGACCATTAATGATAAAATGCTTCGTCTTGGTCCTAGATATATATAATATATATATATATATATATATATATATATATATATAGTTATTTATTTTTTAATCCTAGCCTTGTGATGCCAAATCACCATTGTTGCCCTGACCTTATTTATTATTAGTTATTTACGCCTATGGATTGTATTTCATACCGATTAAAAGGTTTTTGGATCATTAAAAGTAACCTATATTATAAAAAAAAACTATAATTAAGATACCATTTCTTTTAAAAAGGTAGGAAAGCGTTAATAAAAACAGATAAGATGAAATTAATAAATTTAAAAGCGAACAGGAACTAGCTTGTACAAGCCATAATTTGCAGCAATAAATTATGATTGTATAGGCAGTCTTTATGTAAGACTAGATTTTAATATATCCTAAGAACAATAATTTTTATACCATGATATTATGCAGCGGGTATTACATAATACTACCAATCAAAACAACTATAATTATTCGATCTAGTGGATATTATGTGTCAGGCAATTTTTTAAAATAATTTATTCAGCGTCTGCACTCTCAAAGGATCACGTGATAAATATATTATGGGATATTAATATAGTAATGTTACAAATAAATAAAAGTAAGACTTTCATTAATATTTCCTGCATACAACGGTCAGAATATTTGTATTTTTTATTTTTGAATTATTTACAATAATACACAACAAAATAAAAATTGAATTTTAATTATAAGAAAATAATTCAATAAGACAATTTCCTTAAGAAATACTTTCCTTTATTACAAGCGCAGACAAAAACTAATTTTATTAAGGTTTCGGGAAAATCATTATATTTTCTTAGCTTACCTTCTATTCTAATACTTACCTAAAATATTTTAATAATTTAATCAGAAATATTTTAGTTTCTAGATTTTACTAAACTTTTTTTTTTTTAATTTAAAGTATTGCGTAGAATATTCGGACCGAAGAAAGATGAGTTAACCGGAGAGTTCAGAAAGTTGCACAACGCCGAGTTGCGTGAACTGTATCCAGTTAATATAATTGAGATTATTACATCGCGGAGAATCAAATGGGCTTGTAAAATAGTTGGGCTTAGTAACGAAAGAATTCCTAAAAGGTTGATATTTGCTGTACTGAATGGTAAACGTCCGAGAGGTAGACCGAAGCGAAGGTGGTAAGATTGCGTTAAAGCCGATCTGAAGGGACTGGGTTTGGACGGCGAACGGTGGAGAGAGGTGTGTAATAAGCGATTGGTGGTGTCGGCATCGAACCTCAGGGTTCGCTAAGCCTTTTACTATTATTATTGTTATTTACATCCAATCACGCCATAATACTTGTTGATCATTAAGAACGATATTATTATTCTTCATATTATTATATTACTTAATATATCCTCTATTCGAGCATGGAAAAATAGGCTATTAGGCGATTTGAGGTTTAGAGGGCGCCCATAGAGAGCTATATAGAGGGCGCCCAGCAAAATCTCGTCCCAGCGTCTACATCCAACGCGACACCCCTGTTTATGTATCGATATAAAACATAAATTAAAGGAAGTATAATTTAAACTGTTTATAAATACTGTCTGTGATATGTATTTATGTTATTTTACCCAACGATACTTTCATTGACTAAATGTCGACGGGATTGTTATCAACTGCTATTTAAGTGACTATAGGCGTTGCTTTTTATCTTCCAGTGTTATTTCGATTAGTAAGTTTAAAAAAATACCAAAAATATTTATTGATTAATAGGGAGAAAATTATTTAAAACAATCTATTGGAAATTTTGAATGAAGTTTCAACATTAACTGAAAGAAGTAAAACATTATATAAAGTTGTTCTTATCAAAATTTAAATTTTAAAAACCGTGTGTTCTTTTCCAGTTATTGGGCTATTGGCAGCGTGTGGACTGAGCTCCTCCACCAGCGAGAAGGACCTGGAAGTGGTGTACCAATGGCCACTCCTCTCCTGGGCGGTTCCTCCAGGCTACCCCAGCGACCAGGACTTCCAGGCAGACAGGGCCTTCTTCAACAGCATTGAGGTGGGCTGGGACCGCATCTTCCTCACTACCCCTAGGATCTGGAAAGGCAACCCAGCCACCCTCAACTGGATCCCGAGGCCAAAGGTTCAGCTACCATCCGAGCCCTCTCCGCCCCTACAGGTCACTCATTTTTTTAAAATATTTTAAAAATCATTCACCCCAGATCTAGATCTCCCAATCTGTCTCCGTGAAACGGTTTTGTGGATAAAATCCAAATTGCCAATCAAAAATCCATTGTTTTAACAATTTACATCGAAACGTTTTCAGTTATTGATGTAAATAAAATTAAACTGTGTAATTAATGCGATAAGTAAGTTAAATTTTGCTTCAATCCAAACCAGCATTTACCTCCATTATTAAGGAATCTTCGAATACAAGCAGGGCCGTGATACATTTTCCCCAGCCCTTAGGTTAATTTTCACTACTCCTCTCAAGTATTAAATTCACAACTAAAACTCAAACGAAGCCTTTTAAAATATTGAATACAAATATTATATCAATACATTACATAATTATTATATAATATATGTAATGTTGTGAAATTTTTATTTTCATGTTAGTTTAGAAGTTAGAAAATAAAATTTTTGAGACCTGACTGGGAGGCTGAGACCCCTGCAGACTCCTCATTCCCCCTTTCGTCTGGGAAAAAGTTTTAGTTCTAATTACACTTTCTGATTTTTTAATACTTGCATAACATAAATATTCTATTTAGCTAAATGAACATAGTCCTAAACAATACATTGTTTTACAAGGAGATTTTATTCTTAAAAAAAAATAATAATATAAGCCTGAAAATCCCTGTAATTTGAAAAGTTGAAATAAATAAAAAAGATAATTTGGTATAAACATAATAACAAATACTCAAATAGACTACTAAGAATAAAGATGTGAAAAAATAGCAGCAATTAATCAAACATTAATTTTTTAACAATTACAAAGATAGGAATTCCTCTAAAACAACCATGGACAATATTCGAACGTCATAATAATCAGAAATGCCAATAATAATTAAGGTTGGGTCCCTTTAGTACCTTATCCAAAACTCTTATTTGGGAGGCCAACGATGGAACGTCAAGAAAGACGTTCTCACGCTAGATAATATTATATCTTTTATCGTGTATGGAATTTCCAACTAAATTTATTTATTTTTTTATATCAAAATGTCACTAAGTACCATCACTCAAATTGAATCAATATATTTTGATGAATTTCTCCTCTGTGAAATCAAAACATTGTGCACTTAGTGTTGCTTTAATACAAAAATTCAATCAATTCAGGGCCTATCACACAATAATCTTGAAGTAGGAAAATATCAAGACTTCACCCAAACCTTTGTCATAAAGGAGAGGCGGTGGCTCGTTACGCTCCATGACATGATGTCAAAAAAAAAAATTGTGTAATCGAAACCCCAAATGCGTAGATTTCAGTGGCTTCTGGTCAATGAAATTTCGACGGAGTTGGTTACCCCCGAAAAGCAATAACACAATTAGACCAAGACACGTAACTTTAAAAAATAGGCCTCTTGATTCACAACACTCGGTCATTTTGTGTATATAAAAATCCAAACGAAATATTTCTATTTATTCTAAGGAAGCTCACTATTATGTTAGCGTCGAAAATTCAATCTTGAAGTATTTAACAGTAAATCCTTATACATTACTAATAGATTATTTTTTAATTACTAAAGTTAATCATTGGTAGACAACTATAGCTGTGATATAGTATATTCCCCTCCCTTCCAAGAAATATTAATTCTACAACATCTAAAAATCAATTGTACCCTTCTGCACTGGAAAGAAAACCAAGAATTATTCTATAAATTAAAACTGTTATTTTCCAACAAAGAATTAATGAAATGTTTATTTTAGTTTGGGCGATAGTATTGTCTAATAAAAGAATATGGTACGCGCAATACACAACTTCTAATCTTTCGGGCGAGCTCCTATTCCTCCATTATTATTATCCGTTACGATCTTTTATTTCTCTTTTAGTTAATTATCAAATTCTTCCATATTTTACATTTCTCTATTTTTTAAAATCAAAGATTAATGTGAAATGGATTATTATTTCAAATTAAAAAATCTGGTGCGCGCAACACACAACTTTCACTCACCACTGAACTTTGAATAGAAATTATTTTCTAGCCATGTTGAGCTGTCATAAAGTCCTATTCATTATATCACCGGTTGATTATGAATTGTACGATCCGTTGATTATTGATTGTACGACTATTAGTTATTAAACTGTTATTTTCTATTGCAAAGTTTACTAAATTTGAATTAAGAGATTTTGCATTGTCTGCCATAGATAGATCAAAAGTTGTCACACTAACTGTAAGTGGATATTATTGGAATATCACAAAGGGAAAACTCATCAAATTATTTACTAATTTAATTTTCCAAAAGGTTATATGATGATTTTTCGGAATAAACGGACGATAGATACTTAATTATTTAAACATAATATCAGATCTAGAGTTATTAAACTACAATAAATATATTTAAAGTTATAAATATATCAATGAAATATCATTATATTTCATCTCTTCTTTCACACAAGTACAATGTCTTAAACAGTGCCATTGCCTTGAATCCGGGGATTTTAAATACTTTTTTAAATTAAACAAATAAGTAAAAGTTTTCATTTAGTAAGAAAATTTCATTTAATTTCCTTGAAAACGCGAGATTTACGTTAAATAATGTTAGTTTTTAGAAATTATTATTTCTGTTTTTTTCGTCACTCTCCGTAACCTTCTACAATTTTCTATATGAGATATTGTTTTGTTTTTTAATTCTCCACTTTCCAACGATATATTATACGTATACATTCTGACTATTATTTCCGGATATTCATTTTCGGCCTGGATATGTATTTCTCTTTTTTTTCTCCCATATTCAATTATCAAATTCATTCAAAAGATATATTTAGCATTTCTTCATAATTCCTAACAATGAGAAATAGTTAGTATTCATAATGAACCAAATTAAAAGTACTTTAGTGGAAGACATATTGAATATTCATAACAAACCAAATTAAAGGTACTTTAGAGGAAGACATATTGAATATTGGGCATTTAAGTCCTGTAAGGCGACATCAATGTGGATTAGACCTACCTGATATTAAAAACAACTTAATTATACACTGATATACCGAGCTGATATAATAGTTTTTTTTAACAATGGCATTGCCTGGATTAGGTGGATTTTAAATACCTTTTTCAAACTTAAAAATATTTTAAAAGTTTACATTTAGTTAGTAAATTTCATTTAATTTCCTTGAAAACATGTGATTAACGTTAAATAATATTAATTTTCATAAAACATTATTTACAATTTTTTCGTCACTCTCCGTTACATTCTACAACTTTCTGTATTAGATATTGTTTTTCTAAAATTCTCCGCTTTCCAACGATATATTTAGAGGAAGACGTATGAACATTGGGCATTTAAGCCCTGTAAAGTGGCATGAATCTGAATAAGACCTGATTGATATTAAAGACCACTTAATTATACATAGATACACTGAGTTTAATCAAAATCGTTTGTGCCGTTTTTGAGAAAATAGTAAAAATGTGTTTCAGCGTTGATATAAAGAGACACTTCCGGTTAGCTGACTTAAAAAGAAAATGTTGTAGTCACCTCTAAGGATTATACCTATCTTAAATATGTAATATCAGTTTCGTACGACTTTTCATTTTTGAGCTAGACTGCTAATATACACACAGACCATTTTGCGGGAATTAGTTAATTGGACTCAAGATACCTCAAAACGAGTATTTCAACCTCAAATCCTCTTGCACAATCTCTATCAAGCACCATCCATCCTTATAATCCACCAAAAAGATTGAAACGGCCAGATTCTCTACTGAAGATATGAGTGTATGTGGCTGAAGTGTTCTCGATCAATCTCTGTGGCTTTAGTGCCAGTGATGAGGTTGAGAGAGTAGGGACTTCTACTGGAGTCCAGCTTTTCCCTCCATAATTGGAGGGACAAGCCTGCCTCAGAGTTTCCTTGCCTGATTGTAAATAGTGTATATAGGTATGCATTTTATTTTATTTATAGTATATATTTTTGATTATTATTTATTGTATATACTTTTTGATTATTATATATTTTTCTGTACATATAGTGTGAATGTTATTCTAACTCACTATAACTAATGTCCAAGTGACAGGTTGTTGTAATACTCAATAAATAAATAAAATTAAAAAGTCACTAAATTATTTAATAAAAAATGGACATGGTATCTATTCTTTACCTCTGGGGCACAGATATTACCAATCAATTATTGGTTAATAAAACACTAACAACTGAGGTACTTTATTTCAAATCTGCATTTTGAATTTACAGTCACATAATGTATATACAGTTACTGGTATTGCTACTGCTATTGGTGAGGGGAAACAGTCCGACAAGTGGGTCTTGTATTCCTTTTTGCCAACTCCTGACTTGAGGTTGCCGTTATATACTAAACAGAGCGGGACTGTCAAGATTCATTTCTAGGAGCCGCCGAGAAATGAAAATTAAACGATGATAGAACTTCGCTCATCCACAATTTCATATAGAAAGCTGTCAGAAGCTTTTTTTGTCCACCCCTGGTTTTTCCCGGACCAGGGATGAGGTCAGGGTATTGATGCCAGAGGTAAAAACCCTTTTCCCTTCCCCTGGCACTAATCTAATCTGCTGTTTATCAGGGTGCCAGAAAACGCGTTAGCTGGCTCCCCCACCCCGTCCCCGTGAAAGATGCAGAACTTTTTGCATGAATCGGCTCCTAATCAGGACATACCGAATCCCCAACTTTTAAGCATCAGTGGCTTCATCCTCTGCTAACTCAAGTTCTATTCCGTTCATACATACTGCCAGTTGCCTCCTTGCCCAGCAATATTCTTTCATTACACATAGCAAGATCACTTCTAGTTATTTTTCTTAATTTCATGTGACCCATTCTCATTCTAACACTAACCAATTTGTTCGCCTAACGATTTGCCATTTGATGGCAGAATATAATTTCAATAATGTGCAAGGAGCAAAGCCAGTTGAAAATCACAATTGTAGTCCAATTACAAATCTGAAACTTCTCTGTATTATCTCAAGAAAAATTAGCCAGATTTCTTAAATAGAAAAAATAGAATTTTAATGCACCCTATTGTACATGTATCAGTTTTCATCATTTTTACTTTTTGGTTACAGGCCTACCCTAGTTGGGAGTGGCATGCAGATGCTGTGACAGGGAACACAGGCAACTGTACTGGCTTTGTGTCTATCTTCCGTGCTAGAGCTGACAGATGCAACAGGCTATGGGTATTAGACTCAGGTGTCCTCGATTCTTTGGTCACCTTTACTGTGGCATGTCCACCTAAACTTGTTATCTTTGATATGAGTACTGATCAACCGGTGAGTATGTCTTCAATTTATGGCTCCTAAATAGTAGTATAATCATAGTATTTTTATTAAAAATTAAATTATATTATCTATGAAAAATTTGGTACTTTTTAGTTGAGAATCGTTACTCTTCCAAGAGATGTTCTCAGGCCTAACTCTCTACTTTCAAATCTGGTACTTGATGAACAGAGTGCACCAGGTGGTTATGGATGTGATGATACATTTGTCTATATGAGTGATACTACTAATCCAGGAATTGTTGTGTACGATTTTGCTAAAGATCAAGCTTGGAGACTGCAACATCCATTCATGTTTCCTGATCCTATGTTCGGCACATATAAGGTAAATAATTAAAGAGAAAATATAATGAAGAAGATAATTTAATAATATGAACTGCGGGTTCAAAATTTTGTTGCTATTTACCAACTGCTCCAGTGACAGTCCTGTCATTGTTTCAAATCAATGGTCCAGTTTCCCACCAGTTCAATTTAAATGAATAAAAAGTGATTATAGTTTAACAAAATACTTGAAAATTAAATTAAGCAAAGTAGACTATTACCAACTTATATAAAGTTTATAAATATAAATTAACTATCAATTTGAAATTTCATTCTAGCATTGTAATAAAATTTTGGATATTTATTTCTTTACAATAATATTAAAAATAACAGATTTAAATATTACTTTTTTTTACTTAAAAAGTATTTTCTTATTCTTTTGAGAAATATTATTAATAAAAAGAGACCCGCAGCTTTATAGTTTCGCTTTTTCTATTTATAACATAATAGCGTTAATTTGTAAATCAATTAGGAAAAACAACAGTGACTTGCAATAATAATAATAATTTTAAATTTAACAGCCATAATAATCACCGTTAATCTTTTGAAAAATTTATGTGTTATTAGATAAAATGCAACTGGGATAGTTGATTCCAACTGTTTCAATGTTTCCAAAACTTTAAAATTATATATTCATTAACACCAACCAGCTTATGGATTTAATTCTTAAAGATGTGTGGAGCAGTTGTCGGCTAATACGCAAGTCATATAACTTTGCTGTGCATAATGACCTTTTCTTTGGTTTGCTTGAGATATTTCAAAAGTTAAATATTCTATATTCTTCTATTTCTAAAATTTATCCCGAATTATAAAGATAAAAGTGAATGAATGAATGAAGATAAAAATATAAGAAAACATAATAATATTAAGCATAGTTTCTAGATAAGAATGAATTATATTTTTGCTCATTTAAACATAATGTTAGGAAATCATTCAATCAATAGGTTGACTGTTATATTAATTATGCATTAATTTTAATTAAAAATACAGGTAGCTGGGGAGTCGTTTACACTCATGGATGGAATCCTTGGAATGAGCCTATCAGGTGGCACTGGACCACAAGAAAGGCAACTTTTCTTCCAACCCTTTGCTTCTGACAGGTTACTTTCTATTCCAACTTCAGTCCTCCAGGCTGGACCCAATCCAGGGGATGATGGAGAATTACCAGTTACATTGGCTGGCACAAAGTCATCACAGGCTGCAGGCCTAGCTACAGATCCTAGGGATGGAGCACTCATATTCAGCCCCATTTCTGAGACAGCTATTGCATCATGGATACCGGGAACTGCTGATTACAAGTAAAATTATTTTATAATCCTTAATAAAAACATTAAATATATATCTTTGCTAAGAAGGAAAAATACTATAAGTCATTGTTTTTTCTAAAAAGACACGTTCTGGACTCTCATTTGTTCAGAAGGTCGTAAAAAATTTTAAGTGATTTTCTTTTAATTTTTATGAGAAACGTTACCTTTTTTTATATCAGTTAAAACCAAATAATATGTCAAAAATCACATGATGAAAAAATGTTATTTGTAATTTTTGAATTTCAAGAAACATGAAAGTGACTTGTAACACTTTGCCATCTCACCATATATATGATTCTGTAAGCTAAATAATGTTAACACAATATTATAATCTAAACAAGTTAACCATTTAACGACTTTTTATGTTTGTTTTTTATTGGACTTAACGATATTATTTGTTCGAATTATGATGGAATGGCATTCATCTTAAAATTTATAAACAACTCTTAATATAGTGAGAAATACAAAATTTATTATGCCCATCTGAAACAAAATAAAAATTAAACCAGGAACAGAAACTGAACCTGTGCTACTTTTAACACAAACTTTTGAGATGCTGTTCATAAAAATATACCTTCTCTTTTACATTGATTTAACAACCCACCATAGTAGAACTGAATGAAAAAGAAATGGTTTTAGCACAGTCTTATTAAATTATGAAAAACTATATTTCTGGACAATAAATAAATTTCATTACAACTTTTAAAAATTGTTATTTTATGTTTAAATAGAAAAAAAAATTAATAGAGACTTAAATTAGCTAAAAGAGCATACTTATTTCAGAAATATATAAATTAATGAAAAGATAAATTTAAAAAAGGAATGTGTTCTTTGAAATTCTGATCATTACCATGAAAAAATTAAAAAAAACCTAAATTAAATCAAAGCTATATATTTTAAATGCCATCAAACTTCTCAATTATTTAATTCCTGTTAGATGTTTTGTTAATATTTTATCGACAAATAATTATATTTAGCTGAAATCAGATGTCATTTAGAAATTTATCCACAGATTTATGAATTTTTTATAATTTTTTTTTTTTTTTTTGAGGCAAATCTTTGTCCTAGGATAGCAAATTTAAGTGTTTATTGGTATCATGAAAATAACAACAATGCAAAACAAAATTTATTATACCAGCTTCAAAATTTATTTAATAACTATAATTTAAAATAATAATTAAAACATTGTTCTCAGGGTTATATCATACAGTCCAGAACTTCTGCAAGTTGTACTTGACTTCAGGCCAGCTGATAGAGACAGTGGTAATATTTGGCTGTTGAGCACTAGAATGCAGAAATTCTTCAGAAGAACAATCAATCCAGAAGAAACTAATTTAAGGGTTATGAGGCTCATACCAACGCAAGATGTGTTCAATAACACTTTATTGTATTACTAAATGAAAAACTGTTGCTTTGTCTTTGTTGAAATAAAAATTCTGTGGCCATTTAAATAAATATCATAAATATGACCTATTAATAAATATAAAACTGAATATTAAAAATGATTAAGGCATAAAACTGAATTTAATCAAGCTCTAATTAGGATAGAGATCATTGTGAAATCAAAATAAATGTGCCACTTGTAAATGTCAAATGAATGCTGGAATATTTAGACCTATTTTGTAAAAACATAAAACATAGTTATGCAGCTTATGATTTGATAAGTTATACTTATTAAGCTTTGGAATTGATATGATTTTATCAAAAGACACATCACTATCATAAGTTTGCAGATTTTAGATGGAAAATATGGGCTTAAAATTTTTAATATTGAAAACTGCATAATAATTCATAGGAACCACTGACTGATATAATAAAAAAGTGAATCAGCTTATTTTTCCAGATATTTAACTTATTGAAAATTGTCTATTTTATGTAAAAATTGTAATTAATATGTTTTATAAGTATAATTAAATTATATGATATATTTGTATAATTACATTTTTATGAATATATTGTATTATTTCAATGTACCTTTTTTTAAATATATTTTTCAATACAATTATTTTATTTATTGGTTACATCTTGAGAAAGGGCAGAATTTTCAACAGAATAAAAACCTAGAATAAATAGTAAAATAAAAAAAAGTTTTAAAATAAGGAAATAAAATAGACCAGATAGGCAGTTATTTTAATAAGTTACAATAAAAGTACTAATTATAAAATTAATTTAAAAAGAAATAATTGTTTTCTCAAATCATTATAGTTTAATAAGTTAGGAGTAGTCAATATGTAGATATGAAAAAGTTATTATTGATTTTATTTTATTTTTTTACTTTTTTGTATGAAAAACTTTTTCATATAAAATAATAATAGTTTTTAAAACTCCATACGAACATGAACAAAATAAATAAATAGATATTAAAAATTGAAAATATCATCACAACTAGTCTGATAAACAAAATTCTAAAATCCAAAATTCAGAAAAAAAAAATGTCATGAAGTTTTGAAGGTGCTAAGAGCTGAAGTTGTCTTTATAGAAAAGGTAGGAACTCTGGTAACTGTCAAATGTTCCCTATATAAGTTCTGTAAGAGAAGAAGCAATATTGTCAATGGAGAGAAATGATTGTATGATCCGAGAAATAATTGAGATTTTATGGTAAGATCGACCTAGATGGGGTAAAAACAATCAATAAAGAGATTATTAACCAATGTTAGCTCAGAAGTCATCCACTTCACGACCCCAGAGATGCAATCTATGGACTAACTCAACGAGATCAGGTATTGATCTTATGCTTGCTAACGGGGCACAACAGGCTCAAATCACACTTATTCAGTAAGTTCAAAATTGGCTCTAGTACCCTCTGCAAATGCGGTGAGGGTGTACAGAATGTGGAACATATCCTATAAACGTGCATGGTATGGAAGCCTGGAGGACTACCGAATTCTTCATTCATTTTAGTTCCTGACCTAGTCATATAAGGAAGAACACAGAAGAAGAGAAATGAAGAAAATTATTATTATAATTATTGCAATCATGATTATAATTGTACTGGGATATAACAGGCATTAAATACTTTTGTACTATAGTAATCAGCTGACATCGATGGATTCTTTCATGAGTTATACTTATTAAGCTTTGGAATTGATATGATTTTATCAAAAGACACATCACTATCATAAGTTTGCAGATTTGTAACTGAAAGACCTAATTGTGATCAGATCCTAATAGAATAAGTTAGCTTATGGGTTGACAAATGCTTTGAGGTAACTAGTGTGTGGCTCTTTGAAATTATATTTCTTTTTTTATAAAATTTTACTGACAATAATATTAATAGTAAAAGTAAAGATAATTAAAGACTAGGTAGGCTATCCGACCTCCTTGTAAGCTGATTCTTTAAATCCAAAAGTGAGTTTTTACCAATTCAGTCAGTCTTTCCATATCCTTTATTAGCTAATAATAAAGGATTCAATTTAGCAAAGTACTTTCAGATAAAGTATGGCTGGTTGGTGAAAGAACTTAAAAAACAGTTTGAAAAATTAACAACATTTAAGTGTTCATTCCAATTAGCTATTTGCTAATAAATTGCTGAAAATGAAAAACCAATTGTAGATAGATGGCAAGAACATTAAAATTTGCTTTATAAAGATGTCAAAAGAACTCATTACAGTTTTAAAATAATATTTGACATCTTAAGTAAATTTGATAATATTCCAAAATCTCTTAAAAATAGTGAAAGATACATAATAGATCAGTATGATGGTCCTAAACTAAACTGATCAACAATTTAATGATAATAAATAAACTTTATCCATATTATTGGCAATAGATGAGTCGATGATAGATGAGTTGTAACCTACAAGATACTACACAAGTTTGGCTTCATGTGCGCTGGGTCCCATCTTCAGAACTTTTAATGTCTCTTAAAAGGCAAACCTAAGGAGTAGAAGGTAGATACTATGATTAGTTTATAGAAAGCAATGACATTCCATATGCTAAAGTTATGACACCAACAAAAAATGGAGCAAAGAGTATGTTGGAAAAAAAGGATTTCTTTACATTTTAAAAACAAAAATTAATCATGAAATGATTAATTTTCGATTCATAATCCATTATGACTTTTTAATTTATTAATAAGTTTTTTTACCACTAAAGCTTCATCTCTATCAATTTACAAGACTTCTTAGTACAATGAAAAGTGAATATTCAGATCTTTTTATTACAGTATAATAGTTTTGAGATAATAAGCTAAAACAATTTGTTTCCTCCTAAAAAGAAACAGAACAATCCATAAGTAACAAAGCCATAAATTTTTCAGATTTATTAAAAGATGTTTTGACTGCAATGATCATGCAAATATTGCATTTTCACTCCTTGAAGAAGTTACTTCATTTGAAATAACAATGATTCTTTGGGCAAATGACATAGAAAGAGACTCTTTATTCTCACTAATATACAAAAGAAACCAATGTTAAAATTGGTAAGACATTTTTCAACAAGCAATTAAAAATGAGGCAATCTTTTCTAAACAGATTTCAAGTGATCATAAATGAAACTAGCATATTTTAAAAATAAAATTAACTGAATTATGATTTTTAATGGTAGAGTTATGATTAGTTGTAGAACTGATTGCAGGATTTGATTTGGGGTTTGGTCAATAAAGAAAAATACACAAATAAGTAAACTTATTGTATGCCAATATTTTAGGCCTGATTTGTAGGACTTGAAAGAAACTCATTTCATTTCAAATTTAAAAACATGCATACCATTACAAAACCCAGCCATTATTTTCTTTTTTAGTGAAATAAAACAAGAAAAATCATTGGCTCTTGAATATATTTATATTTATTGGACATTACTAATAATCATTTTACATTATTGATACAATATTTAACATTTTAAACACTGAAATCCACACAACACCTTAATAAACAATTATAATTTGAATGATAATTTACAGAAAGAAATATAATACAAATTAATCAGATATATGAAAATAAATATTCTAAGCCATCTATTAGGCACTAAAATCAAAATACATGGAGCCAAAACACCATTAAAGCAATAAATAAATTATCTTTAATGGCACAGATATGTGTTCTTAATTAACAGTTTCAAGAATATAATCAGAGAAAAATATAAAATAATAGATTTCATAAAAAAACCAATGAAAATTGTAATATATTTATTGAGTACTAAATGATTCACCATTATATAATATTCAGGAAGGAGCTGGTCTATGAAAATTAAAATAGTTGTTTACAATTTTAAGTTTTTTATAAATGCCACACCAGACCATCTTTCTGAGTGTAATATATTTAATGTCATACTGTCATACTTGTATATTTATCACTATACACTTTTGTGGTCTATAATGATTCTGAATCAACTGTAAATTGCTCTCATGCCCTCTAGCTGGCAAAATATTCTGACATTTCCAGGTATTGCTGGTCTGGTAGACACCCAGGCGAATATATAAGCAGTACATGGATGAAAAAAAAATGAATAAAATGATCAGTAAATAATTTATTAAACATCTAGATTACAATTGAGTAACATTCCAGCCTTCAACTTGATAACAGTCTATAAAACAGCCAGATATAATAAACACAATATTTGACAAATCAAATTTAAAAAATAAGCTAATCAAACTCATACTAAAGGAAAATAAATGTTTATGTTTTTTTTTTCATTTACATTAATAAATTAATTAAATATACACTATGTGACCATGATGGCCGAGAGTATTAAGATAATGACATTGAAACCCATTACAGTATATATTGTTTACACAAACAATATAATAAAGACAAGTAAGGAGAGGTGAAACCGAAGAAGATAGTAAAAACGGTCTCTTATGGTAAAACCTCGCAGTTGATATCACACACCCTCTAGTTCTTTCAGCACTTCAAAAATAGGGCAAAGGTGCAGGAAGGATCCTGAATCACTCAACGAACTATGGGTCTGAGGGTGAAACCCTGCCACATTCGTTGCCCACTGGTCTGCCCATCCCAACTGATTAATCATAGGATGAACCTGCTGCAGATTAATCTCCACCAATGGAGATTTTACTATTCTTCAGTAATACATAAAAGGTGAGAAAATTGATATTATATTAATAAAAGAACCTCACCTACTTAGTGGCAGGATCATGAAATTTGGCATTTCAGGTTAGGAATTACTTTCCATTGCCACCAACCCCAAAGTCTGCATGCTATATAGGAAAAAAACTAAAACTGCTTCTTTGGCAATGTTGTTCTAATGATTGAGCAGCAGCCTGCCAAACACCACATGGAGGCTTAAATAATAGAACAATACCATAGTGGCGGGTTACCTGCCCTGTGAGCTTCTTGATACTACTCCTGAACTTGATACCATTATGCAGGTCATGAACAAAAACATTTTAGTTGGATCGGATGTCAATGCCCACAGTAAAAAATGCAGCAACAAGAACCCTAGAGGTGAATTTTTATTAGGGTTTATTGTTAATAATAATCTTGAAATCCTTAATAGGAGTAAGAAATTAGGCTTCTGTAATAGAATATCAGGAGTTACAGATATGCTGGCCTCCCAAATGGTAGTGTTACGTGCCGAAAACTAGCATGTATAATGAAAGACATGTTCACACCACAAATATATCAGATCTAATTTAGGTGAAAGCATTATAAAATATGAGAAGTTCAGAAATCCCAAATCAACTGATTGGGACTCTTTTTACTCACACTTAGAAGATGCTGTCCAAAAGTTGTAACATCTGGGACCAGAAGTGCCTTAATACATCTCTAAAAGATGTAATCACGAATTCTTACCTGATTAGCAATGTTATATATACTAAAAAATTCAACAGAAAAGTTTCATGCTGGAACAATGACCTACCCAGGCAAAGGATACTCATTACAAGATTGTTCAATGCTCTAAAGAACTCTGGCAGATGAGATACCTATAAGAAAGCACTAACTGAATATCATAAATCTGTCAGAAGTGCCAAAAAGACAGGCTTGGAGAAAGTTATGTCTATATAACATACCAGCAGTATGACACAAGAAGAAAATACTTTCCAAGCAGAAAGTTTAGGAAATATTAGGAGCTCTCAAGGAAGGCTGATGAAACACATCCCCTCACAGAGAAAGAGACCTTGAGATTGCATGCCCTAGTACACTTTTTTTTTAACTGCCACGCTATTAGAGATACCACTTTACGTAATCATAAAACTAATAAAGAAATCTGGGACAAAGCAAGATGTATGATGACAGATTGGAATGGGCAGTCAAGTTTTTGACCACTACAAATATGTGGATTTAGATAGCATCTTTCCAGCATTGCTGCAAAGAGGCCTCTCTGCAATGAAACCTTATCTCTTAGAATTACTAAGGAGCAGCATAGCACTTGGATACCTGCCCGATAGTTAGAAGGCAACCATTTAAAAAAAGTAACAATAAAATTATATAAAATAAATGGAATTCCCAAACAGCAAGGAGGTAAAATACCTTGGGTTAACTCTGGATCACAAACTTAAATGTAATAGTCAAGTGATAAACACGACTCAAAAATCCCTCAAATGCCTAAGGGCCTGCATAAGTACCATGGAGAAATGGAGGGGATTAAAATCGCCAATCATCTGCAACCATTAATTTATACTCATCTGAATTGAGCTACTGTCAGTTGAAATGGGATACAACTAAATAAAATTCAAATAATAGTCTGTCTAATAAGGGGCACAATGAAAATTGTCATGGAATCATGTTGGGTTTATATCCATTGCATTTGGAGATAGAAGCAGAGGCCTTAAAAACTATTTGTGGGATAGCAAATTTAAACTTGAACTCTAGGGTTTTAATTCACTTATAGGCAACACAAACCTAACAATAGTTCAGGGCAGGTTGGCCGAACGGACTAACACATGTATAAATCACGTATTGCCCTGCAACCAGATAAAATGAGTTATAGTCCTGGTGTCAGGGGTTTTTAACTCTGGCAATAATACCCACACTCTCTCCTGGCCCAGGAAAAACCTCATAAAGCCGAAGGCTGTGAGGTAGGGGAAAGAGAGGGGAAAAAACTTAACAATCGTATTAATTGTTACACAGGCTCAATTATGACCTGTGTCTCCGATCACATCCAGAAGACAGATACCCCAAAGGCATGTATATACTACACAGCAAATATTCAATGGTATTTCAGTCAGAAATACTGGCGATTTATCACTATACCTCAACACTGCTACTTGATGGGCTGGCAGGGAATAGGATTACTATTTTCACTGACAGTCAGGTGACAATAGGCCTTTCCCATCATATGTTAATTTATTATTTTACCTAGCATTTATATTTCTAACACAATGTATGTTATCATGTTATATTTTTCTATCATTAAAATATAATTTGTTAGTGCTTATTTATTTTCAACTTCTCTATTTTTTAGATATTATAGCTTTTTTTAAAAATTAAAATATTATACATATCCCTGAAAAATTTAAGTCTGTACAAATTATAACATATCATACGATACAATAACCACTGAGATGACTAAGTTGATATTACTATACTTTTTTTCCTTTTCTATTTTTTTTTTTAAATATAATCATTCATTGATTAATTCATTTCATTATTTTACATATTACAATCTTTTTATAATTGAATTTGACTTTTTCTTTTTATCTTAACCATATAACTTCATTATTCAGTGAAAAATTGAACTGAGATCATTATTAGAATGTTTTGGCATTAAATTATAGATTTGGCCCACTGCGTGCTAACCTGGCCTAGGCGAGTTAAAATTTATTTCATGGCAGACCCATGGAATGAATCTCAACTACCTCAATCTAGATAGAATTTTTTGGATATCTATTGGATAATACTTTCTATCTGCCCTAGTTGGTGTACATTAGGACATTAAACTCAAATAAACAAATAAAAAAATATGTAATTTTTACAATTTTCAAAATAAAATAAAATAACATTAGAAATTTGGCCTTAAGTAGTCAAATACTTTAGCTATATATAAAAAGCAACAATTATATTTAAACAAAAAATCGTTATTTTTATCAAAATAAAGTAAAAATATATTCTTATTAAAAATATTATTTACATTACATACATTGATCTTTTCATTCTCTTTCAATAAAATCTTCATTAAGAAATATGAATATAATTTATACTTAATAAAAACCAAAAAATCCATAATATGAGTTGTTAAAACATATCTATATTTATAATCAGTTCTTAGTTAAGACTAATCCATTATCATCAACATATATAGAATGTCAATATAACTACAGCTCAAAAGCCGGGTGATAATTATTCATAAAATGTAATCTATAACTCTATCTGAGAAATTACAGAGGATTATTTTATTACATAACAGGTAAATCATCTAAACTGCACATGTTTTCCTCAGTGCAAATGCGAGTATCTAGAGACTGCCTAGACAGACCCCAAAATTTAGTAGGTTGTAGCTTCCTATTGGTCGCTACAAACTGCCACCCAACATGCTTTTGGCAGTGTCTACAAACAGCTATACTCCAAGCATAACTAAACAAAAAAATTAAATGTATCAAACAGAAGTAGAATAGGCACATAAATAATTTTCAAAACAAGTATATTAAAAAATTAACTTTGCTATTAACTTTCTTAATAACAAATGGGAGCAGTTAATAAAATTCCAGTTGACCCTTAAAGTTTATACACCAAGGCATCAAAGGAATCATTGGTAGAGAAAGCCTATGAGCATTTCATGGAATTATATACCTACAATTAAGAAATTGAAAGTCAAATGGTTTGACCCATTAATACAATTCCTACACATTGCAACTTCTCATAATGCACAGGGACTTCATGACTTTGGGAAGAATATTATTAATTGATGTAAAACAAGAGAATCATATCATATGACAATTTAAAATAATCAGGCTATTCCATGAACAAAATGAGTACTTACAGAAAAGATAAAACAACACACTACTAAGTTAAGGGAAAAAAAATGAACTATTTCAAACATATCATTGAATATACGATGTGTCCCATGACTGAAGGGTTTAGGGTGTTTTTATACCCTTTTTTTTGTTTATGAGCTAGACTGTAAACACACAGATATACACACACAAACACCGACCATTTTGTGGGACGCGGGTATTTGGACTCAGGGAACGTGTATTCCCGTTGAAAACTGAGATTCAAAAATTTTCAGGATTGTTATATTTTCCTTTTCTATATATATTTCATAAATAGGTAAATGAAAGCAATTAAATTGACAAAGCATACATACCCTGGAAACCAGCTGAAGTGGGTAGAAGGTGCTGATATAGGGATAACATTTTCTACTTTCAATAAAGTAAGGGTGTCATGATGATAACCTTCAGGATTCACATAAGTTCCCTGGGCACCTTCAATAGACATAGCAAAACAGTCAGTCTGCTTACCTATCACTGCTCTACAGGTTCCACAAATAAATTGATGGCACTAAAAATAAATGAATGTTTTAATATTTACATACAGATAACAAGTAACATATAAAAAAAAAAATTACTTTTCGCAAAAAATTTAGAAGCCATCGTAGCCTCGGTATAGGAGAATTTAAGGCTAGCATAAAGAGCCTTTTTTCAGAATCCAGTTGGCTTGCAATCCAGAAGGATAATTCAGTTGGATCTTTAGGCATTACATTTTCTACTTTATCTATAAAATAAACAAAAGAATAAAATTATTTTTGATTAAGGCCTTTTATTTAATAATAATTAAATAAGTTTTTTTTTTTAAGTTAGGTAGGTAAGTAATAATACCTTTCCTAAGACCTTGCTTTAAAAATGTCAATTCGTCACACCGCTGAACCAGTTTATCAACATCATACATATCATAGACCCATTTGGGCCATGCTAGCATAAATGATTCCATCTTTCTGCACCTACAAAAAATTATAACTGATATATAATCAGAAATTCACTGATAATTTCATGACAAACAATTCTTTGGTAGCTGGGTGAAGGGGTATTTACAGCTGTAATGAAAGTAATTGAAATTGAAGAAGCCAACACAAAATTTTGATTGAAAAAAGTTAGTTGTGCCCACAGCCAGGTGGTAACTAACATTAAGTTAATTGTTTACTGAATAACAATTAACAATTTAATTATTTGAAAATGATAAATCTTTTTGTTCACTTGGAGTGGTGTCAAATATTTATAAATATGAATATTGTTAACTTTGTAGAGTAGTGTTGACTCTCCATTTACTCCCCAGTGTCTGTGTGCTTTAATTCATTGTATTTATTTGGTATGGAGGTTCATTAATACATTATCAAAGGCGTAGTTTTATAAGAGGCAATCAATATTAAAGTTCTATATAGATTTATTTTAAATTTTTGGATTTCTTCAACATAACAGTCTATATCCATTATTACATTATCAGAAGCATAATTTCTGAAAATACAGCCAATTTTTACAATTTGAACTAATTTTAATGTGTATTCGTTACCAACTAATTTAGTTGGACATATAATTATGAATAAACAACTAATACATTTTAATTAACAGTTATATTTAACTAAAATTACTTAGCTCTGCCCAACAATGTAGAAATAATAATAATAAACTAGGAATGACTTTGAATAAGTTCTTTTTGTAATCAGATATAACCCATCAGAATCTTTTGATACATGAGTAACGTAACATTTTAATTATGCTAAATTCCAACAATTATCCAATCCTACCGCCCATGAACCCTACATATTGCCCAATATCTATGAAAAAACGTCCCAATATTCTGGATATATTTATCACCTCCCAGATTTCCTCCTCCTAAGCCATTATCAAATTCATGGATGAACTTTCTTCAAATCATAGTCCAGTTCTGCTTTTATTACATTCACACTTTGCTCCTAAACTGATTACAGGACGAGTAGACTGGGACAAAGTTTGTTATAAACTGGAAAAAAAAACTCTGAATTCCGCTTAAGAGAAAACAAGATATTGACAAAGCCAGAGAAAAACTTATCACATCTACGACGAATATAAATAATTACACATTTGTTAATAAAAACAATAATTCACAAAATATCTACTTGCCACAACATATGTGAATCTTATTAAGAAATAAACACAGAGCAAGATCGAAGTGGCACAGGACTAGATACCTTCAGACAAAACGTACTATGCCAAATTGACTAACAAACTAAAATCAGAAAATATAAAACTCTAAACAACACCACATAAAAATGACTAGCATATCACTATGGAAGACAACCACAAAAATTCTGAAGTTTAAAGACCTTAATCACCCACTTCTTACTGAATCCCACACCAGGTCCAAATCCGACAAAGAAAAAGCCTAAATATTCGGTCAACATCTCTTCCAAACTTTCAACCCACATCCCGATATCCTTAATACAACCCACATAAAATGTATTGAATCAGAACTGGATACTCCTCTCCAAATGTTCCTTCCACCTAAAGCCTTTCATCCCACAGAAATATCCAACATCATTCACAAATTACTCTCCCGCAAAGCGCCTGGGCATGACGTAATAACATCTCAGATCTTAAAACTTCTTCCTGGAAAAGCCATCCTATTTTTTACTTACATATATAATGCCGTACTTCGATCTACGTATTTTCCTGATCCTTGGAAAATATCTATTGTCAAAATGATTCACAAACCCAAAAAGCAACCAGAATACCCATCCTCCTCTGAGAATATTCAATGCTCTAACCTTCCAATTAATTACAAGACTCATATACATGACTATAATAAGGCCTATTTGGACTTACGGAGTTGAGCTATGGTGTTCCGCCACACCTTCAAATTCCTCTCGTATTCAATCTTTACAATCCAAAATTCTTCGTAAAATCCTCAATATTCCTTACTTTGTTACAAATAAAATCATCCATAATGACCTTAATGTTCCTTATGTATCAGATTTGGCCCAATCCAGATATCTAACCTTCCATAATAAACTTCATAACCATCCCAACCCTCTTGTTTTTAACATTGCTTCCTATTTAATTCCTGATAACCCTCTGAGGCGTCTGAAAAGAGGATGGACCTGTGATCTCCTAATGTAGACATATCAATAGAGAGCTATCAGTGGGTAGTTTCTAACCATGTGTTTCATGTCATTATATCTATATCTATTGTACAAATTCAATAGATGTATTTATTTTATACAGCTGTAAATATCACAATAAATTATTTTTTTTTAATTATGCCACATGAATACTTTTAGAAAGTATGCAGAATAAGTCATGTTTCAAAGTATTCTGTCCTTCAACTATTCGAAACAACTACAACTAAATAATTAATTTTTAGCAGACATGCAAAATTACCTTTTTTTCAATTAAAAGTTTTAATTGTACCTTTCAACAACTAATTCAATTGAAAATAATTAATTGTGATTTCAAATAACAAGATGCAGTGTTAACTAAATAATTTAGTTGTAGTTGTTGATTATTAATTGGAATTGATTTTTGCTTAAAAATAATTAATGTTCATTATAAACAAATAAAATAAAACTTAAAATTGATTGTCAGAAAAAAATATTTTACTCAAACACCACAGAATTACGATTTGTGTTAAAAAAGTAACAGAAATATTTCATTTTTTAAAAACAATTCTATTTATTCGAATACAATAGTGTTATCAGCTTCAAATTAGTACCTCTTTGGAAATTATTCACTTATACGAACGCTTCTTCCAGTCCCTGAAAAACTTCTGAAATCCAATCATTAGGATAACATTCAGCTCTCCCAATAATCGATATGCTTATAATTTTATCTATGCTTGACAAATGAAGGCCTTTTAGGGTTCTTTTTATTTTCGGAAAGGGAGGAAAATCACAGAGCACATCAGTCTAATCTGGAGGCTGAGGTGTCATTATAAAAATGAAAATGAAAATGAAAAAAATGTTTTATTATTCTGGGACTGTTGTCCCTTAAGAACAAAATATGAATACAGATTATATGTCTGTGTGGCTACAATTAAATTGTATATTTACAATGAAAGTTGACTTACGATAAAAATACAGAAAAGAGAAAGAAAAGAACAAGTAAATTGTACATATGTATGAGAAACTAAAATAACCTTAATAAATTGAGGTAGTCTCTGGTGGTGCTCAGATATTTCTCTTAGATATATTTCACAATCATTCGGATTGAGAAAGGAGTAGGTGCTTAAAGAGGAGAGGTTTAAACGAGGAAACTGATTGAGCGTGTCGAATATCAGCTGGGATGGAATTCCAGAGAGAGGCGGCTTGTATTACAAAGGATTTGTCAAACGCAGCAGTTCGGTGAGGAGGAGGATAGAGGTCGGAAGTACGAGATCTGGTGGGACGGGATTGGATGGAATATTTGAATTGTAAGCTGTGAAAAATATAAGAGGGTCGATGGGTTCTAATGATTTGGTACAGAAAGGTGGCTAGGAAGTACTGACGGCGATAGGATGGGTAGAGCCACCTCAACTCAGTGTAATACTGGGTAATATGCGTATCCCTTGAGATTCCGAAAACAAATCGTAGTGCACAATTCATTAGGTGTTTAAGTTTGGCCTCGGAATCTCCCGGGAGTCCACCGTACACCATACAGCCATAGTCGAAGTGGGGGAAAACAAGGGAGGAAACTAGGAGTTGACGGGACTTATATGGAAGGAAATATCGTAGACGATTGAACTGTTTTAGGGTGGAGATAGTGCGACGGGAAATTTGGGAGATGTGAGGTTTCCAGGATAGGGATTGATCGAAAGTAACACCTAGGTTTTTAACGGTGGTGTAGAATAAGATAGGTGAGTTGTTCAGGAAGAGATTGGGAGATACCGGGGAGGATTTGAGGAGTGAAGGGGATCCGATCAAGATGGCTTTTGTCTTCTCGGCGTTCAGAGTGAGCCTATTGAGGTTTGCCCAAGCACTTATTCCGTCAATATCTTCCTGAAGTTTTTGAGTGGCATCTGAGATATCTGTCGGATTAAAGGAGAGGTAAATTTGAATGTCATCGGCATACAGGTGGTAATGACAGTGCAGGATAGAGGATGGGAGGTCATTTATATAGATGGAGAAAAGGGTGGGGGATAAGGAAGAGCCTTGTGGTACGCCTCTGGTCAGAAGTAGAGATTCTGATGGTGGGTTATTAGGAATTACAACGTACTGGGAGCGACCGGTTAGGAAGGATTGGAACCAATTAAGGGAACTAGAAGAAAAAGAGATATTTTTAAGTTTGGTTAGGAGGATGTTGTGGTCTACTGATCAAAGCTTTGGAGAAGTCTAGGAGAATAAGGATGGTTAGTTTCTGCTGATCTATGGCTGTGTGAAGGTCTTGGGAAATTTTGATTAGGGCAGACTGAGTAGAATAACCAGGCCTGAAACCGGACTGGTAGGGATTTAGGAGATTATTGTCCTCTAAAAAATGGGATAGCTGGGATTGGACTAACCGCTCTAATGGTTTTGAGAGGTTTGAAAGGAGGGAAATCGGTCGGAAATCATTAGGAACTGATGGGTTTGAAGTCTTCTTCAATGGGCGTACTAGGGCGGTTTTCCAGGATGTAGGGAAGGTAGCATTTTGAAGAGAATAATTGTATATATGATAAAGGATCGGAAGAATGGATGGCAATGCGGCTTTAATCAGTCTGACTGGGATAGATTATAGTGTTGTTTTCAGCAAAAATTCACAAATAAACAATGAAGTGTGTGTGTTCATTATCATAGTGCCAAAAAAATTTCATTGCATGAGCCACTTGATATAGCTATACTCTGAGTAGCAATGGGTACTATTTTCATATATAAAGCAGTAAAAATAATAATTATAGACGGAACGACATAACAAATAATAATAAATTTCTTTTAGAGTTAATATTTATCCATTTCGAATTTTGAATAACCACTAACAATATGAGATGTTAAATTATTTCATTAAACAAAATAAAGTTACTTTACAGTAAGAAATTTTGATGGCTACTTAGAAATTTTGATATTTTGTGAAAGCATTTTTTCTTTTTATGTTTTTTCAAGTCTTCAATCCTTGCAGTTAAATTGTTAATAACACCAATATAGTCTGCCAAAAACTATTTACTGTGATAGTTTATAGAAAAAAAACTAACAAAAATAAATCTGAAATTGCTTACTTAGTATAAGTTGACAAAAAAAAAATAGAGATTATGTTTAACTAATTGCCCATTCAACAATAAAATAATAAATACCTCTCTTTATTGGTAACTCTGAATGAATTGAGAGATGTAAGCTGCAATGCAGAAAAAGGATGAGATAATTTGATTTCTGGGAGAATTAAAACTTCACCTGTTCTGTAACTGAAATCAAAATAATAATAAATAAAATACACAATTAATGAGAACAAAATTAAAATTAAGACTAATAATAATAAGTAATGTTCATCCTATTTTAGGAAGATTACAAAACAAAAATCTTACAGTGAATAACCATTTTATCAAAGAATAGTCAGAATTAAAACATAACCATACATCATTGAAATATTTAAAAAATAACCTAGAGATAAAAAATGTTACAAACAAGTCATGACAAGAAAACATTTGATTATCACACTTAATTATTATAATAGCAGAAATTGTCCATTAACTTGAAAGAAAGAGTTTAGAAAAACTAGACAGGAATGTAATTTATTAGTTCCATACCTAAATTATTTCATAGTAGTATAATTATAAATAATTTCATTTATATTTTAGTAAAAAGATAGGATTGATTAGGTAACATTTTAATGTATTACTTTGTGAGTTATAAATTCGCAAATTGTAAATAGTAAAGTTCCATGTGTAATTAAGTAATAAATCATCTTTAAAAAGCCATCAAATAACGGATTAAATTTTTTTTATAATTCATTAACAATATAAAATTTGTTCGTCGGTTATAAAAGTCTGAACATCAAGGCTCAATAATGAAAATAGAAACAAGAAATACAGTTTAGCTATTAACAACTTTGCGATTAGCATAAGTATTTAGCCTAATTATTATATTTAAATATGAGAATGTAATTAATAAATAACTAACCCAGATGGTGTGGTCTTTGAACTTAACAGCCTAAACCTTTGCCTTCCTTTAGCTTTAATCCGAACAGCTCCCATATCATCAGAAAATTCATATATCTCTGCAGTTGTTCCAAACATTACTTTATTAATGATTGCTGTAGAAAGATATCTGAAATCAATTATACTTTAAATAGAATAAGCATCATAGAACTAAAGTAAATGAAATAAATTTATTATAATAAGTAATAATTAAAACAAAAATTAATAAATAAAAAAGTTAATAACATTGGAAAAATTAAAATAATGAATGTTTTATATGTACTTTTTATAAAACATATTCATTTTATCAGCTATTTATGTTTTCTTTCTGTTTATGTGTGCATATATGTGTTGTCATATATTAAATGGCAGTGATAGTAAAAGGATCATTGGGGTTAGAGCAAAACAGACACGTCCATCATGAGGTTCAAGATTCAACTGTATTTTTATAAACAGTACAGAGCACACCTAGCGGAACTCACACACAACTACCACTAGGCACTTAACTTAAATAATATAGTTCATCAACACTCCCCTTTAATGTTATATCTATAAAAGTACAAAATGATTTAAACATTGTTTATCAACACTTCCCTTCAATACTACACTTACAAAGAAATATAATAAAATTCTCAACAAATACTTCCCTTCAATATTACACTTACAAAGAAATAAAATAAAATATTCAATAGACACTCACCTCCAATATTACATTTACAAATAAATACAATAAAATTCTCAACAAACAATCCCCTTCAATATTACACTTACAAAGAAATACAATAAAATTCTCAACAAACACTCCCCTTCAATATTACTCTTACACAGAAATACAATGAAATTCAAAACACTCACCTTCAATGTTATATCAACTACAAAAGTACAAAATGATTTAAACACTATTACTTAACACTGTCCTTCAATCGTATCTAGTCCGCAGATTAATGCAAGTCAATAGGTAGTTAACCATTTCAATAAGTTGTTAAACTCACCTCCAGTACCCAAAATTATCCATTACACACCTTTTCAAATAAAAGATGAAAACCTAGACACAGACTTTACTTTAGAGGAATTTTTACAAATTTCAGGAAAATCAAAAAATAAGAAAGCCCTGGGCATGAATCGGATCCCATTTGAATTTTGGAAAAATATCCCCGAAGAGATCTCAAGGTTTTTGAATGTAATTTTCAAAATATTTTGGAGCGGGCATAAAATTCCAGATTATTTCACTAAATCTATTATTATGCCAATTTATAAAAAAGGAGAGATCGGCAATGTAAAGAACTACAGGTGCATCCCATTGATCGACACCATTGCAAAAATTTATTTTTGTTTAATCCTTAATAGGCTTACCTAATACCCAAAATTTGTAAGTTATATGTTTATAAAATTTGTAAATTATATGTTTATAACTTTTGTTTCAAAGGCCCAACTAGCCAAACATTCTTTGAGCCCTTTCTAATATATATGTATATGTATATATATATATATATATATATATATAATCAACTTAAATTGCTTTGACTGTGATGATGTTAAACTATGGAGGATTAATTTATCTTTACTAAGAATTAAAATTCAGAAAGATATTTATAATCAATATGCAATGCAATTAAAATTCAGAATTCTAAAACTTTCACTTTTTATCCTCATTTAACTTCAGTAAATTATATTGATGACAAAAGTTCATTGAACATGATCAGATGGGTAATCAAAATCAGGAGTGATGTTTTGAACTTAAATTATAAACACTTCAAGCAAACAAATCATATTTGTAGCATGTGTAATACAAATGAAACAGAAGATCTCTATCACTTCCTGGCTGCTTGTCCGATAATCTCTGAATTTAGAATTAAATGGTTAAAATCCAGAAATTCATCTCGGGATCAAGTAATAGATTTAATAAATGGAAAACATTGGATAGCATTGGTAAATTACTACAAGTCTGCTTTCTCCTGTAGAATAATGCTCACCAGAGAATTTAACAATTAATAAATTGGAGAATGTAGATACCACTCCTTTTGTAATTAAAATATTTGTATAGCTTTTGTATTGCAATTGTTCTTATTTTCTTATTAATTAGTTATATATAAATAGATTGAAATTTGATAATTTATTCAAGAATGAATCAAGCTGTAACTGGAAAAAGAAAGGAAACTCCCAGTTTCAAAATATTATAACTAAGAATTATTCATTTATTAATAGAATAAATTATTCATTTTGGAAAAAAAATGAAAAACTCTCCATGAAACAAAGAATCAGATCTAGAAACAAAATGTTTATTTTTTTATTTTTTTTTTTAAGATCCCAAAATTGTAAACATTTAGAACTACACTTATATCTTGATCCTCTCCTGGGTTAAAAAAAAGTACCTATGTGTGTGCATGAGCACACATGCAAGTGTGATGATAAATTTAGAGTTAGTAAATTTTATATTTATTAATTAACTTTGAACTTTTAACACAATTTTGAAACAAATCCAAAATAAACTTTCTCTTTTCATTGGCTTTCTAGTATGTTGCATACCAGTTAACATAACAACACAGAAGGGACACAACAATTTAAAAAAGAATAATGGTTAGGTGGATTAGGTCACCTGTTAGGTTGGTTAGGTCACCTGATGCTAAAATATAAATTAACAAAAATATTGTAATAACCTTGCTGAAACACATCCAAAGGTATGGTCGCCTTCAACACACTTTCGCAAGAGTGTAGTTCTTCCATGATCCCGGACAGTCAATGGAAATGTCTGTCCAGGGAGCAAGGTTCCATAAGTGCCTGGAAGTAAAGGGATCACAACTCGAGAGAGTTCAGTGAATATCAATCTTCCACCAATTTCTTCAAGATCGCGTCCAAGGTACTATAAATAAAAAAGAAAGATGAAATAATTGTGGACAAAAATAATAATATTTAACAATTAAAATTTGTATGCAAAATTGTTTTCTATAATCACATCCGAATTTAGTCATAGAATATCTATAAATTAGAAATGGGTTGCATCAAATTGAACCAGTTACACAAGCCAACAAAAGAAATTCCAATGGTGTGAAATGAAATTGTACTCCATGGATAAAACATGACTTTCTAGGTTACATCAAATTTACATGTTTGGCAAATAAGAAACCAATGGTTTACTATATATCAAGAATTACTTATTTAATAATGTTTCAAAAAAGTGTAGACAAAATTGCTTAATATATATATATATATATATACTTTTTTTTTTTTTTTTCGGTTGGTGCTACAGACCATGAAGATCTTTGACCGCAAATGTGGTCTCCTAGACCACATCCCAATTCCTAATTTAAAGTACGGGGTAGGGTCATCAATCCTACGCCCGGTCAGTGTGAGTGGTCTCCAGTAGGCTGATGGGGATCACAAACACGTGGGGGGTAGAGAATCTCGGGCAGCATGGCTTTCCTTGGTGGATGGTCACCCATCCAAGTGCTAGCCATGCTCGGCGTTGCTTAACTTTGATCACCTACTGCAAGCGCCAAGATATATATATATATCTTTTTTGAAACATGTTATTATTAAATAAACGATATGTATATAGAGGACACTTATAGAAAAACAGACATTAAACTATTTAAACAAAACTTTCGGATTAAAGCTAAACATATAAGATTCTACAGTGATTGATATTTTTTTTAATGGTTATTTTAATTTTTTTTTCTTTTTTTTTAGATGCTTATTATTAAATAAATAACTCTCAAATGATCATATTCTGCTAACTTTACTTCAAACAATAGACATAGAGTAAACAAAAATGATTGGAGTATCTTTTGTCCATTTTTTAAAGTGCTCAATTGATATTACAGGTCGATGGAAATGCAGATGATTAAAAAAAAAAAATTCATATTGGATTAATGTTCAATATAAATTTAATATAGATATAGAATTAATAATAATAATAATAATAAAAGGCTTAGCGAACCCAAAAGTTTGATGACGACACCATCAATCGCTTACTACACACCTCCCTCCACCGTTCCAAACCTAGTCCCTTCAGATTGGCTTTAATGCAATCTTCCAACCTACGCTTTGGTCTACCCCTCGGACGTTTACCATTCGAAACAGCAAATATTAACCTTTTAAGAATTTTCTCGTTACTAAGCCCAACAATTTTACAGGCCCATTAGATTCACCGGGCTGAAATCACCTCAAATATATTAACCGGATATAGTTCACGCAATTCGGCATTGTGTAACTGTCAGAACTCTATGGTTAATTCATCCCTCTTCGGGCTAAATATTCTATGCAATACTTTATTTTAAAAAACCTTAAGATGTTGCTAATCCTTTAATGTAAGCAGCCACATACAGAACTGTAGGTAAGATAATTGTTTTATAGATTCTAATTTTTAAGTTCCGGGACAAGAGGCGCGAGCTAAATAGTTTTGTCACAGAAAAATAACAAGCATTTTCCCCCTTCAGTCTAACCTTAATCTCTTCTTCAATTTCGTTTTTTCTAGTTGTCGTAGACCCTAGATACCTAAAATTCTCTATCTTTTCAAATATATTACCATCTATATCGATATCACCAGTAATTTCGCCATGTTTGCAGCTAACCATATATTTTGTTTTTTCCATTTTTATTTCGAGCCCTAGTTCTTTACTGGCATTCATTAACGTTGTCGTATTTAGTTTTATAGTTTCCACGTCTTCACTTAATAGTACCAGATCATCCGCATAGCCTTGCACAGGTGTTGTCCCACCCAGATCTAACTCCTTTTTGGTACGCATTACCTCCCTAATGGCATGTTCTAATGCCAAATTGAACAGAAGAGGCGAAAGGGAATCCCCCTGTTTTAAACCCGAACGAACCTCAAACTTTTCGGACAGATTATTGCTGATTCTAACTTTCTTGAGTGTTTCCGTCAAGCACATCCTGACTAGATTTACTAGTTTTTTTGGAATCCCCTGCTCGATTAGAATATTATACAGTTTCTGGCGGTCAATAGAATCGTAAGCCTTTTTTAAATCGATATACAGCTGGTGAATAATACCGTTGTACTCTAATTTTTTCTTTAATATTTAAACAGATAATAAAAACAGAATTTAAACAGAATAAAACAGACTAACAAAAACTCTATTTCCTTAACAAAGAAAACTGTTCATGGATCAAACCCCTAGACATTTATTACAAATATTCTGGAAGTCCATAACACAATACCTATCAATTAAAATGAATACAGATACCAATTAAAAAATAATTTGATCATAGTGGTAAAATAAATATTTAATTTGTTTCCAAATTAAAGTATTAATTACATTATTTACATATTATGTAAATAATAGAATTAATATTTTTAAGGCCGTTCTTTTTATAATTATTAAGGATTTTTTTATATTCCTAATCCTTCTATAGCAGTATAAACCGAAAAATAGAATGAAAAATAATGAAATTTAAACTAGAAGAAAACTTTAAATTAATTCTATTCACTTTCAATACAAGTGGTTATTTGTTGGTAAAATAAAAATATTTGTCAAGTCAATTTGACTTTCAAGCCCTTTAACAGCCTAAGAGAGAAATGAAAGAATTAAAGATAGAGGACAATAACCAAATAACCCGACAATAACCGAGGATAAAACACAAATAACCAGTGGTGAAAGGATGTGTCAAATTTCAAACTATATATATTAAATTAAAGACTCTTGACATAAGTAATACAAAAAAGAGGGGGAGGGAGGAATTGAACCAATATTTCTATAAACAATAACTAACAATAAGATAGATAAAATAAAAATTCATTAAAACTATTAAATGATTATACAGACTTTTTGATAAATCAAACAAACCACAACAAATAATACTGGTATGTTACTACTTCATGATTTTTAAAGTCAACTAAAAAAGAAACATGAAAGAAATAAAATGTACTCGTTGCTCAAAAATAACCGAGCTGATAATTAAAAAAAAATAACCTATACCACTACAATCCGTGAAAGATTTTGGATTCAGTACTATTTAGGGAAAGTACTGTTACAAGGCCAACAGTTGTGCAGGGAGGAGATTGGGCCAGGATCATACTCAACCACCAGGTTTTCCCTCTTAATAAATTATTTAATCAAGCGTACCCACTTTGTATAGGCTGGGTGTGCCCCAGGAGAGTTTCACTACCCCAGGGTCGCCTCATGGCCAATGAAACAGAATAAATAATTTTTTTCTGCCATGAGCCGGGATTCGAACCTGAGACCTTGAGCATTGGAAACTTGGTGCCCTACCAATGAGCTGACTCACTCACATCAAGCTAATAGTTAATAATAATAAATTTAATAAAACCAAATACTTACCGAATGAGATGCAGGCAATCCTTCATCAAAAATGATTTCTGCTGATTCTGTATTAAGATTGCTGTTATGGGAAACTATAGCACCGCCCATCTCAAAATTGTCTACTATTGGTACGTTAATAACAGACTCTAGGTCTTCATCTGCCACATCTACAATATAATAAGAAATGACATTTTCACAAAACATTTAGTCATGTATAACTTGATATCACCTAAACAAAACTATGAATATTCAGGTGTTGAATAGGCAGGACACACAGATTTTTATTGATGGCGATGTTTTAATCCAAGCATGTGGGTCATCATCAGGATTGAAAAATTGTTTAGTACGATCACTAGTTATAATATTATAAGACAGATAATGGTTAATAATGAAAAAATAGTGATGGATGAAACATGAAATAAACAAATGAAATATGTAATAAGTTATACAAACCGAAAAAATAATCTATATAACCAATTTATAAGAAATGTAATATTTACTACTAATGACCTTGTTTCAAGCACTGAAGATATTCAAGTACTGTCACTTAAGTAGGTAAGTAAGAGAGTATAGATCTGGACAGATCAATTCCATACATTCCGGTCCTGTCTCGAAAAATGTTTAACTTCCAAATTCCTTATCTATTATTCATAGTTTTTAAAACTAACAGTAAATTAAGAAATTTATATACCAAACTCAAAGATCCTCTTTCGCTTCTATAAAATAAAATATAGTATACCCTATAACATGCTCTAGCCCAAACTGCAATTCTTTCTATACAGAAGAAACAAAAAATTATCTTAAAAAACGAACATACCAACACAAACACAGCATCTCCATATGAAACCTGTTTGCCTCGAAACTAACCGAACATGCCATAACCCTTACCACACCATAATCCATCCGTACTAGCTACAATTCTCAACCACCAAAAACGACTACTTTTGGAAGCTATATTTATTAATTTGGAAAAAAATAATCTGGTAAATCATAAAGTAGATAAAGAAAAGATGTGCAATACATATTCCAACATTTTCTGCATCCTCAAACAATAGGTTAAACAATTTTTTCCTCTTTTTTCCTTGTCAACTTACAGATATAACTATTACTATGTTTATTATTTATATATAAATATGGCCTAGTCTTAATAAATATAAATTCAAATTATTATAAACAAGGCACAGATATGTTTAACTAAAAAAATCTATTATATAAAGGATTAAACTATTAAAATAATAAATAATATTTTTTAAAAAAATTATATAAAGGATTACATTGTACTAATAGTAAAAGCATAATAGTTTTTTTATGAATAATAATTGTTATTCTTAAGGGACTCCGTACCCATAATAAAATAAAGTTGATTTTTCTAAGCAACCAATAAAATTGATATTTCTATTTTTACTTTCACTTATCTATATATGTAATATATATTAAGGGAAAGTATTGTGATTGTGAGAATTTTTGAATTTGAGTTTTCAATGGAAGTACACGTTTTGAGGACGCCTGAATCCAAATGACTAAGTCCCGCAAAATGGTCTGTGTGTCTGTGAACAGTCTAGTTCAAAAACGAAAAGTTGTATGAAACAGATATTACATATTTAAGATAGGTATATGGTGAGATATTACAGCAACTTTTTCTTAAAATCAGCTAACCGGAAGTGCAACTTTATGTTAACGGTGAAACGTATTTTTACAATTTTCTCAAAAACGGCTCTAATTATTTTGATTGAACTCGATGTATCATTGTATAATTAAGCAGTCTTTAATATGATTTAGGTCTTATCCCCATTGATGTCACTTTACAGAACTTAAATGCCCAATTTCAACACTTCTTCCTCTAAAGTACCTTTAAATTGGTGTATTTTGAATAATTAACTATTTCTCATTGTTAGGAGTTACGAAAAAATGCTAAATATAACATCTGAAAGAATTTCATAATTGAATAATGGAGAAAAAATAAAAATGCTTTCCCAGGTCGAAAATGAATCTCTGGAAATTATAGTCAGAATGCTTATAATATATCATTGAAAAGCGGAGAATTTTATAAAAAATAATATCAAATAAATAAAGTTGTTGAAGGTAACAGAGAGTGACGTAAATAATAATTTAAAAAAACTAAAATTATTTAATGTACATCACATGTTTCCAAGGAAATTAAATGAAATTTTCTTACTAAATGTAAACTTTAATTTTTTTTTTTTAAGTTAGAAAAAGTATTTAAAATCCACTGAATCAAGGTCATGACATTGATTAAAATACTATTTCATTGTACTTTGATTGAAGAAGAAGTGAAATTTTTCATGGATATGTTTATGAGCTTAAATACATTTACTGTAGTTTAATAACTCTAGATATGATAGTGTTAGATATAATTAGGGCCGTTTATTCCAAAAAATCATCAACTAACCTTTAAAAAATTAAATTGGTGAATAATTTGATGAATTTTCCCTTTGTGCAATCCTTACATTATCCACTTACAGTTAGTGTGATAACTATCTAATCTATCTATCCATAGCAGGCAATGGAAATCTCGTAAATTCATTTTAATAAGCTTTACAATGGAAAATAACAGTTTCATAAGTAATAGTGCTACAATCCATAATCATTTATAGGTTAAATATTCAAAAGTACTTTCAAATCTCTCTAGGCTTGTATGAGCCTTTCAGTTGATGGAATGGCTAGCTCCAATTTCAACATTCTTTATTATTAATTTTAGCGATGTTTCTAGTGGGAAAATTTATACCTTCATTACAGTTCTGTATTTCAACACTGCAATCACCTACTCTGAAATCATCTTACTCATTGTGAGAATAGATATAACTTTTCCAACTAGAAAAATCACTAAAAAAATGAGATTACTTAAAAATGTTGAAATCGGTTTTAGTCATTCTGTCAACAGAAAGACTCAGATACTGAAGTTATTTGGTTTATAAAAGCGAATAGAGTAACTAGATTTTTATTGCCTACCGTTGATATAATTATTATAGAGTTTTTGTTATTTTAATGGTCTTAATGATTTGTCATATGTAAGCTTTAAGCTTTAGCTCCATTTAAAATGCACTTCAATAACTGTATAATAGCCCAACATTGCCAGAAAATAATTTCTTAAAGCGAAAGTTTTGTGTTGCAAACATCAAACTTTTATTGTACAAGATACCATCAAAAATATAATAAATGTATTAGTTATTATTTCAATTTAATACAATTGACTGTATTGTAGCATTGATTGTCAAACTATTGTATACCTTTACTCAAACTGTTTTATGTTTGCATTGGCTGTCATCTCTTATTTATTTTTAATTCATTTAAAATTAATAGTCATAACTTTTGCACAATAAGAAACAACGTACATATGTTATCTTAATATTTTATTTATCAAATCACCTCGTGCACAAAGACGGATCCTGCCCTCAGCTAACACTCCTAATCCACCACAAGAGCCTATCCTGAATCCAATTCACAATCAACATCCAACTGACCTAACCTCCATTCTATCATCCTTCCTATTGGACCTGCAAAATACTATAAAACCACTTATCAATCTTCTCACCAGAATCCTGACCGAAATTCCATCCAATTTCCAACGATGAACACAAAGCCCCTAACTATCCTTTTATGGAATGCTAACGGACTAAGTAACCACCGTGACGAACTTGACTTATTTCTTCATAATTATCACATTGACATTGCTCTACTGACTGAAACTCACTTCACTAAACGAATACATTTCTACATACGTGATTACTTCACTTATAGAACTGATCACCCAGACAACACCTCCCATGCCGGTTCTTGCATCCTTATACATAAATCATTACCCCATTCCCTTATTCCTTCCATCCAACTGATGCCATTCAATCAACTTCTGTAGTCCTTTCAACTCGCCCTTTCCATCTCACATTCTCAGCTGTATACTGTCCTCCTGGTAATTCCCTCTCCTATAACCTCCTTGATTCCTTATTCAAATCACTCAGATCGCGCTTCATTGCTGGAGGAGACTACAATGCTAAACACCAACGATGGGGTTGTCGAACATCCAAACCCCGTGGTAACATCCTATCACGTGTTTCATCTTTCAACAATTATTCAATCCTTTCACCCATGAGTCCTACTTATTGGCCAACATCCCTCAAAAAACGTCCCGATATCCTAGATATATTTATAACTTCTCAGATCTCCCCCTCACAAACCATAATCAAATCCCTTGATGACCTTTCTTCAGACCATAGTCCAGTTCTACTTTCACTACATTCGAGCTATGCTCCTAAACCATCACCTCCTAAATTGATTACAGGAGGAGTGAACAGGGACCAATTTCGTGATGATTTGGAAAACAAACTAGACTTAAAAATTCCGCTAAAGATAAAAGAGGACATTGATGGTGCCATTGAAAAACTGACAGCATCAATAACAGACAGTATAAATAATAACACTTTTATCAATAAGTTCAACAATTCACAAAAGACTGACTTGCCACAGCATATTCGTATCTTATTGAAGGAAAAACGCAGAGCAAGATCGAAGTGGCATAGAACCAGATATCCAACAGATAAAACTCACTATACCCAACTGACTAACAAACTAAAATCTGAAATTAGAAAATACAAAATTCAAAATTTACTAAATTTTACTGAAAAACTTACACCTACCGACAAATCACTATGGACGACCACTAAAAGGCTCCTGAAATTTAAAGACTGTAATCATCCACTTCTTACTGAAGCTCAAACCTGGTCCAAATCCGATGAAGAAAAATCACAAATCTTTGCTCATCACCTCTTTAAAACCTTTAATCCACACCCTGATATTCTTAACCCAAATCACCTTGAATGTATTGAAGCAGAACTGGATATCCCACTCCAAATGTCTCTTCCGCCTAAAGCCTTTCATCCTTCAGAAATATCCAACATCATTCAAAGGTTACCTTCCCGAAAAGCTCCTGGACACGACCTAATTACATCCCAGATCCTAAAACTGCTTCCTCGGAAAGCCATCCTATTCCTTGCGTATATATATAATGCTGTTCTGCGATCCACATAGTTTCTTGACCCTTGGAAATTATCTATTATCAAAATGATACATAAACCCAAAAAGCCACCAGAAAACCCATCCTCCTATCGCCCTATCTCCCTTTTACCCATCCTAGGCAAAATCCTGGAAAAGC